GGCCTCAGCATGGCCGGAGAAGCGGTGCCTCGGTGCACGCCTGGGATCTGAACCTGGGCCGCCAGTAGTGGAGCGCGCGCACTTAACCGCTAAGCCACGGGGCCGGCTCTGTAGGTAGTCTTTTAAACTGAGACTAGAATGGGCTGTATGTGGGATTTGGAAGGTGGAGATGAGAGGTGCACATGATGTCATGTGGAATTCACATTTACTCTTGCAGCTCTGATATTCTTAAGAAATGGGTAAATGCTGAGCTACCAATAATGAATAATGATTTAGTCTCTCATGGAATGTGCTTCTTTCATTCATAGGTCGTACATATGGCATATGGTATAGATATGTAAATTTTTAGGTATATATTATATATTTATGAATATTTTGTAGTCCAGTGCAAATTAAAGTGGAAAACTTGTAGTTGGCAGTAATAGTAGCAGCATGCAGCAAAGCAGTTCTAAATAAGTTGCAGTTATTAATAAAGGTAAAGCAAGCTAATTGTGCCTATTCCTTTTTCTTGTTTAGGGCTTTTCCTCTCAATCTGACATCACTTTATTTCAAATGCATTGTAAGACAGGAAGAACACTGAGATAGTATCAAAACCCACTTCCTTTTATGTACAAAAATAAAGAGCTCTGACAGCAAAACTGATACTTCTAGTTGAAAATCGATAGAAACTCTCTTGGTATAGGTATACCTTTTAGCCAAGTAGGAACAGAGAACAGAACTTTGAAATTCAGTCCAATATTAAAACTAGTTTATTGATTTCCATGTAAAGTGGAAAACTTAGAAATTTGTAGTTTTGGTTCCTGATTTTCAGACAGGAAACAATGTTCAGAGAAGACCTTTATGGAATTCTAAGCCAAGGTAAGGTGGAATAACTCCAGAAAAGTAATTAAAATCATTCTGTTGCTTTTTTTGTGGGATCATAGCTAAGTGAAGTCTCTGCCTTTTCTCCAAAATAAAATATAAATATTGCAGCATGAAGCAACTGTAGAAGTATTATTTTTATCTTCTGATAAAGTTTTGTTAGATTTTGATCTACTTTTGAAGTGTCTTAAGGAAAAAATTGATTATGTGAAATATACCTTTTCATGTATAAGGAATTACTAATTCTTTCCAGGAGCATGATCTAATGTTAATTTTACTGCTTTTTTGGATCTACTCTGAATCAGGAATTTGACACATATTGTGTTTGGAGTTATTTAAAATATCATAGACCTGCCTGCTCTCTAACATCATTTATATATGTGTTAAGTTACTGAATGGAGATGGTTGTGTGTAGAAATGTCTCCTTTAAAAAGTATACTGGGTAGAAAAACTCCTTTTGGCAAAGTTAACTTATGTGGGGAGAGATGTTCTCCTCTCATCTGGGGGTAGTTGGTGGCCGAGTTGGAGGTTTTAGCTCTGTCATGTATTAAAGATGGCTACACTATTAGGACTTGGATAGTTAGGGTACCCAGAAGCAAGGGAAAGTGTTCAGGTGTGGCATCTCCATCTTTGGTTAGGGGACTGTGTGAATATAATCAGAAGCTATAGCCTGCCCAGTTTGGAGTAGACTGCACTTGATATGGGAAGAAGGGACTTAGAACGAGAATGGTCTGTTACTTCTGGAAATGAAATTCCTCTCAAGAAAGACTATTGTGAAAATAAAAACTCACCCTTAAAGGAGGGATTATTGTTTTTGAAGATTAAAGCAATTTTGGAAACTTCAGCTGTTACCAGTCTTTCAACTATTAATCCTTCCACTATATAAAGCTAAGTTTCAAATTTGATATTACTGCTCCGTTATTTCTGATAGTCTCTAATACTTCAGAGGAGCCCATTGAATGTCTTCAGGAGAAAATAAAATATTAAGTCAGAAATTATTTACTAGTTTTAATTCAGATGCGTCTAATATGAATAGTCCATATCTTTTTGGCCTTGTTCAATATAATAATCATCCATTTAAATGGAAAATTCTCAGTGCTATAATATCTGAAAAGTAGTACTTTCTGAATGTATACTCATTGGGTAGTATGTGAATGTCCCAACTTGGAACTACTACTTCAGTAAACTATGTAAAACTAGCTTTAATGAGCCTCAAGTTCTAGAATTTGTTTTAAATATTTTTCTGAAAACACTTAATTTTAAGATTAAAAAATCATTTCTCTACTAGGTTGCTGATTGTTTTTCTGTGTAACATTTTTGGATTTTTTAAATCAAGTAGCGAGTAACTGCTGATCTTTTGATCAGAATTTGTTAATCTTTTATTATGTCTCTGTGCTTATATAAAAGCAGGCATTTTTTTGTTTCTAATCAGATACTAAGTAGGTTCTTAAGGAAGAGTGTTTTTAATCTGTTGAGCAGTCCATATTGGAGGACAGTAGATCAGGATATAATCTTGAGAACTATTGTTTAGGCCATTAGCTTATTTGTAAAACCGAAGAAGCATCTCTGTTGAAACTACTTGCTACACTCATTCTTTCTCCAGTATGTACTATTGGCCAGGTATTTGGGAAACCAGTCTGAATAGGGTGTGGGCTCCACCCATATCTAGAGGTATAGAAAAATAAGCAGATAATTAGCAAATGAGTTAATAAGTAACGTGTTTTTTTTTAAATAAATTTCAGGGTGTAGGTCGCCGTATTTCAACTTCTGTTTATTTATTTATTTATTTCCCCCAAAGCCCCAGTAGATAGTTGTATGTCATAGCTGCACATCCTTCTAGTTGCTGTATGTGGGACTCGGCCTCAGCATGGCCGGAGAAGCGGTGCGTCAGTGCGCGCCTGGGATCCGAACCCGGGCCGCCAGCAGCGGAGCGCACGCAGTTAGCCACTAAGCCACGGGGCCGGCCCAGTAACATGTGTTTTTATTTATCATATTATAGCAG